GCCTTGAGGTCCCGCCTTCCGGTCTCGCCCCGCCCACTCCGGGCAGGGAGCGCCTCCCCTGGGTCTTCACTGCCCACAGCCCCACGGAAGGGCTGGGGGAGAGGGGAAAAGGGTAAGTGAAAACACAGCAAAAGAGATAAACCCACGCTCGAAGGACCCACAAGGGTTTTCACCCGCCCCTGAGCCCTGCTGCCCCTCGGTCCCTGCAACTCGGCGCCATCCTGCACCTTAGAAACCCCCCTTCTCCTACAGAGGCGTGCGAGCCTGCGTCCTCAAAACATTTCCTCCAGACAACTGAACCTAAGTGAGGCCCGATTTAATTATTGCCAGCCCATCCTCTGCTTTAGGAAGCAGCCTGCCAGTCGTTCGGCACCAGCTACGGATTGTGATCCGGCTGGCAGGAGGTGCAGGTTTGCCACCTTACCTGGGAAAAAAAAGCTGGTCTTACCCCGGCACTAGGCATCCGTCAGCGGGCGATGCCAGGGATAAATGTGGGTCTGACACAGCTCCGGCAGCTCTGCAAATATTGGAGAGCAAGTGTAGTGCATGCTTTCTTACTTTTGACCACTCTGCTCCAGTGCAAAACATAAGGAAAATAAATTAAAAAAGGAATCTTTACAGCCTGAACTTATTTCATAAAAAAAACCCCAAACAAACAAAAAAACCTCAAACCCCCAAACAAATCCACCCTTAGAAACCCAGGTAAGACAATACTCCAAATTTCCAGCCCTGTTTCAAAGCTCAGGAAAGCGCAGGGTTCAGAAAAAAAATCCAGGACAGTGCTGGGGGGAACGAGTTGGCTGGGGTGTTTGCAAGGTGAGGTCGTTCTCATCTTCCCAGGTAAGAGAATTACAAGGTGAGGAATTCCTTCCCCCTTCTGCCAAAAGCAAACACTGCCTGCTACCCAAGGGGGAGCCTGGATTCCCCCTGTAAATCAGTTTTGCTGCAGTGGGTGTCGATAGTGGCAGAGAGGACAAGCCAGCTCCCTGACATCAGGTAAGACGGCAAGCCAGAATAAAGCAAAATTTATTTTTTATCCACATACACGTGTTTCTTTCTCATAAGTCTGCCCAGTCACTGGAGGGGCATTTTGTGTCTTCTGATTTGCAAAGACTTATTACCCAGAATACTAGAAATAAATACAGCTGACCAAATAGGGGTCAGAGTAAGGCCCAGCTAGCCCAGCGCCTGCTCTGCAGCACCCAAATAGCAAACGGTACAAGCACAAGGTAAGCACACAGCAATATTCCCCAGAGTACTCACCCAGTCACCAACAATTTGCACCGAGTATCTTTGTATTAACAACCTTGATTTTGCTTTTCCCCTCCACTCCCTTTTTGAACCCACATTCACACTACCTGGTGGCAAAAGCTTGCACGGCTCAGCTAGGTGTGTGCAAAGCAGCCTCTTTCTTTTGAGCTGGCCACTTAGGAGTTTCATTTGATGCTTCTCGAATATCTAAATATTTGGAGAAAACCTGCATCAACACCTGTAGTTTTATAGACCATACAAAATCCTTTCTCAGCTCAATTCACTCTCTTCCCAGCTAAGAATCCTCATCCATCATTATTCCTCACACAGGCTGCGCTATCATCCCTCCCCGCACCTAGGCTAATTCTACCATAACTTGTTTCTCTGGGCAGCTAGTGGGAGTAACACCGACTTACTGCCTGCTTCACGCTGTAGTTACATGAACTGTAGCTCACTTCTGGCCAAGCTTTACCTCCTCCCCACAAAGCTGAAGCCTCAGGCTGACGGTTGTGTAAATGTCCTAAGGGGAATAGGCATTGCCTGTGAACATATCAACAGACCTGGTCAAGTTGGTGTTTCCTTCCAGCCCTCACCTCCCAGGTTAGATACTTTTTTTCTTTTCTACCTCTCTTGTTTTTCCACAGGTTTATTGGCAAAAGCTAGACACAAGAGGAACATCAATCCATGTAGGGCAGCATGAACTTATTTCATAAAGGGCAAGTGTTGTGGACCTGCGGAGGGGGAACATAGAGGGAGATAGCAACAGGTCTAGAAACAAAGAAAAACAGTCAGCAAGGGCTTTAGGAAAGTGAGACTGCAAAGAGCAGACTCTTCTGCAAACTGCAACTCAAAGAAACCATGATATTTAAAACCATTGCAGGAAAGGTTTCTTGAATCAGCTCTGCAGCTTCCTGCAAAGCTTCTATTGGAATCGAAGGCCTAAGCAGGGGTGTCTACCAGCCCGCTTGTCCTCTTGTAAGGGAATTCAGGGTGTTCTCCTCATCATGCACTCAGGTTGAAAACTCACCAGCACACCCTTCGAACAGCTGAATGCCCTCCAGTCATTCAGACAGTGGAGGACACTACTCTGCCAGGGATACGCACATTCTCAATCCTTGGGAGGACAGGAGCCGAAAAGGTGTGAGCATTAAGCAGACAAACAACAGGTCAGGTAAGAAAAATACTGCCTCTTCATTTAATGTTTAAAGACATCAGTAAACAAACAGAACAGTACAGTCAGAGGCTAAACCCCTCCCGCCTCCCCAAACAGCACACTCCAAACCACAACAAGTACCGGGGTGACGACCCTGGCAAAGGAGCAGCAAAGTCTGGGATTTGAGGGATGGCCAAGAGAAATCTCTGCTGTGTGAGGGCAAGAAGACAGGACTTCAAAGCAGCAGCTTCCCTCACCCGCAAGCAGAGCAACTCCTGGGTACAGTCAAGAGGGAATGGTTTCCATCCACTCTGAGCAAGCAGCTCAAGTCTCTTGCTGACACACAAAAGGGTCATGTGTGAACTTGGAAAACAGAGCTGGAAGCTACATTAGAGGTGCAAGACACACTATGTACTGACCTTGGCACCCAAACCTCTGTTCCAGTGATTTTAACCTCTCAAAGAATTAAGAAAACAGGGAAGTTAGGTCCAACTCAAAGTGTTACAGTACTCGTTTGTGAACGCAAAACTGAGTATGGGGGGAATAAACAAGACTAAGCTCTGCATACATTCTTCCATCCTGCTCCATCAAGCTGCTCCCTGCTCCAGGGATGCTCTCGATCCCTATCCCACAACTGGCCTTGTCTCCGAATAGTTTTCCTTGAGCTGTGGAACATCAGATGGTTTAAAAGGGACATCAGGAAGCAACTCTCAGTGCAGGCTTCAGAGGAAAGCCAACTGCGTACCTGAGTGGAGGGCTGGGGAGAGCAGGATGTATCAGGTGTTGCTGCTGAGAGAGGCAGAGATCGTAGGCACAACCGTTCCAGCTCTCACCTTGCTGGCAGAAGCCTGCACGGGAGCTACAGGAGGTGACTGAACCAGCACGGGTCAGGCTCTGAAGGCAGTCACAACGGCCGCCAGCCAGTACACAGCACAGGTTTCGAGTGCTACTTGAATTTCCATTTCCCAGAGCGGCGACAGCTGGAACCGTGACACATGGTGGAAAGTAAAGAACACATTTCACTGCTCTCTGCCTCTCCAGGTAACAGAAGCCTGCAGCAGTGGTGTTTCTGCTGCCACCACATGCAATCAAATACAAAGGGAGGGCTAACTGGCTCCTACGTGGCCCAGTTATCTGCTCCAAGCACCCATGTCCAATGTGGGACACCCCACAGTCCAGAGCCCCATATCAGAGCCCTCAGATCTCAACGTCACTCTCTTTGTCGTTATCGTGGTCACCATCATAAAACTCGTTGGCAGCTTCAGGCCTGGAGAAAAGAAAATAACCATCAGAGAGGAGAGCCCTGGCTCCCTCAGGGCCAGAGAAGAATGCCTAGGTCACACTACTGAAGGTCAGAAGATGCCCTGCACCCAAACACCCCGTGAAATGTTATGTGAGGAGACCACACATTTCTAGAGAGAGGTTCCCCGAATAAAACCAGACTTGGAAGTGACTTAGTATCTATTCTAGGAAATAGATGGTCTCCAGTATATCATCTGCCCACCCTAGCAGGGACAGAAAGGGAAGCTCATTTCTCCAGAACAAGATCTGGTACCTGCTGTAGTTTTCCTCAGAGCCTCTTTCCTCTGGATCAGGTTCATCTGTGCGATCGTAGCTGAGCAAGTCAGAAGGGACATCATGGATCTGCACGCTGGGAGCATGGTTCAGCATTTTCAGATTCTCAAATATCGTCTGCCTGATCTGATCCAAGTACTACATAAGAAAAACAGAGGGATCACCACAGTGATATCTGGCAGTCTGAACAGAGCCACAATTGTTAGCATCATCTGTGTGGTGGCCATGAGAAACAAATTTGTGCAAAAGCTATTTATCAGAGCAGAGGAGGTAGAAGAGTTAATCCAATCATGATACTGAAGCATGCAGAAAACAGTAAGACAACCCGGCAAGGTTCTCAAATGCTCTGAGTCTCTCTGACACTGCAGAGGAAAGGTTCTGCTTGTTTTTGATCAGTTTTCTGCCCCACAAGAATTCCTTGCCCAGGCTCTACCTGGTTTCACAGGACAGAGCATCAGCCACAGGTTTTGGAAGAACATAGCTGATATTGCAATAAGGCTGAAAGCACTGACCTGCCTGGAGTTCTGATTTTCAATCCTTGTACTGACGTCAGGATGAAGGGTGAAGTCTGGAGCGAAGTATTCAAAGTACTCTGTGGTGGAACGAGCAAGAGAGTTACAGCACAGAGGCAAGGAAGCCAGCCTGCACAGCTCTGCAGAGAGCTGAGCCCACTCTCCCACCATGCCAGGGGTGACCAGACCCTAAAAAGCACAGTGATGTGCAGCTCTGCAACAGCAAGTTATTATATGAAACAGAGTGAGCAAAAGTAATGCTCAGGTCACCAAATAGGAAAAGATCAAAATTAAATGATCATGACACAGTAAAGGTGTGTCTGCCCAGCAAAATCTACAAGTGCGTGGCAGAAGATGACTATCTCTAAGATCAGAAAGTGCTGTCACTTTGGCCCTGGTCTATCTCTGGTCAATGCAGAAGTGTGAATTCTTCAATTGCTATAACAAATACTTTATCTTAGGGAAAAACGGAACTCCAACTTACCGCTGTATGGGAGCTCTTCGCTAATTGCTTCATCTACAAGCAATGATGTTTCATAAGTCCTGAAAACACAGAATAAGATGAGTTCAGTCCAGAGAAAGCTGCATGGTGCATGCAGGGACAAAGCCCACAGCAACTGCTTAACCAGTGACCTTTAACAAGCAGAGAAGAGACTCACCAGCATCGTGCCACATTGCGGACTGTGTAACCACCTCCTCCCAGTACCAGCAAGGGGATGTTGAAGCTCTTTACATACTCCACACACTCCCTGGAAACCCCAAACAAAAAAACCCAAAACAAACAAAAACCAGATCTGTTAACTGCAGCACATATTCCTGTGTCAGAAATGCCACCATGCACTCAACCACCACCATGGCTGGTGTGATACACCTGGAGTTCAGGGCTTCCACCCAGGGAGCCTGAGCCACGTGCTACTTTGTGAACCACTGCTCTGCAGCGCCTTGTACAAAGCCTCATTCCGAGACCCCCTCCTGTCACACACGAGTTAAAAAAAACACACACCCCCCCCACCCCACACCCCCCCCCCCCC